TAGTATAGTAGTAGTAGGAGCTGGCTCCTGTCTCTTATACACATCTAGATGTGTATAAGAGACAGCCTTGAAATTATCTTTTTGTCCATGATACTACCAACCGCCTAGTAGCAAACTATGAATGTCAGCACATATAAAATCAATTAAAAATTTTGATCTTTTATTTATAGCCAGATCAAGGCTAAACAGTATTTTTCAATAGCAATGTACTACCCAAGGTCAAAGGTCTTTGTGGTGTACAATATGCACTCCCCCCCCCCCATCCCACCCTACTCTGTTGGGCGAGATAAAATAACAATAAATCAAATAAATTTTAAATAAATAATTCATTTTCTTAATTTATGGATTGGTAATCATTTGGATCTAAACTGTCATTGTTTAGATCCAAAAAAGAGAAAATTCTGGAATGTAAAAATTATAGAAGAATTTAAGCGAGAGATCCTCCATGGTACAAAATAGGCCATTGTTCTCGAATTTGCTACATAATACCTTTGCTGTATTTGTATGACATTGGGAAGCCAGTTTAAATCTACAAGTACAATGACATGTTACAGCAATTTCCTCTCTGTGCTAGCAATTAATTTTTGAAGTACTGAGCACTAACAACTATATATTCCTACCACATTACAGGGGATAGGCTTATACCCAAGGAATGTTCATACAAAATGTTATCTTAGGGATATAAAAAGGCAATTTTTTAACACTGCATGCCCAATCTGAAACGAATCTTTAATTCTCCCTCCCCACCCTAAACATCAGCTGAGCTCCTTATTCAAATCATTCGATGTCATTTCAAAGAGCTAGCACCATTCCCTAAATCGGATAGTAGAAGTACCATACTCCTTGATGAAAAGACACGATAGTCTTTTGTTAACCAAATTTTGTGTATTGGCTTAAGCTTGGTTTCCCTACAATTGCTACCCTGTCGCTACAGATTTTTTTAACTGCCATCGTTGCTCTGTGACAGATTGCCTGGTCTAAACCTGTCTCTTATACACACGATTTGACCTAAAATGACGCGATTTTATGCGAGTTGACGCAAGTGGACAGCTCATGGTATGATCGCGACGTGCTTCTACACCGCTGTATCGCGGTGTGTTTTCCGACGACCAGCAGCCTAGGAACGTTATAAAACGGTAATTTTCTTAAAATTGCAGAAGATATTTTTGTCGAACTTTTTATATTTGATTCAAGACATATTACTTAACTATTGTAGGCCTAAATTTTTTATAATGAAAAAATCGGAACGGAATTCGTTTTCTAGACGTCTTTTGAGCTTCACCCCATGGCCTACTGTCTGTGTGGCCCATACAATGATGGTCAAATGAATTATTTTAGTATTCAGTATCATATCATTGTTATAATATTACTTGTATTTTACAGTACCTTTATCAATCATCTTTGGACGTCCATTCCACTGAAAACTTGAATTCTTAAGTCTGGCCTTTGGCTTGGTCTTGCTGCAACAAGCACAGTGCACTAATTCCATTGTCGTCTAAAGAAAACAACATATTACTTATAACAAACACAAAATCTCATTACACATGTTACTATATTGTTGTACTGTTGTAATAAGTTGTAGTCATGGCTATGTGTTACAATGATGACACTGCTTTAGTAATAACAGAATCAACTGCTGCAACTTTAATTTTATTTCATACAGATAATACTAAATTACATTTATGTTCTGATTGAAAATAAAATCAAACTTACTTGAGTTTCTTTCTCCAATGTTAGTTGTTCAGGAGGTACAGGCATATCATCATCTTGAACAGCTGTTGCATTGTCCATTGTTGTTGGGGGTTCAAGTACGGTTTGAAGAATCTTGGTAGGACAAAAAAAACAAATAATAGAGCCTAAATTTATCAAGAATATATAAAATCGAACACTAATCCCTTTATAATCGATCATAACTGAAGAAAAGGGTAATCATTTTCTAGGGAAAACTCTTGGCCTAGGCCTGTCCAGCCGAATTCCAAGGCTTTTGCAAATTTATTTACCTAGGCCTAGCTAGGCATCACCGAATATCGTGTATGCATTCGAGATAGCTGGCTAAGCCTACAAAGCCTCCCCCCCCCCTAAAAAAAAACAATGTGGCCCGAGGCTAGGCTTATATATAGGCCTAGTCAATGTAAAAAGGAAGATGAAAACGACAGTTTACAAATCGACGATTCTTTTCGGCCGCGCGCTAGCCAATAGTAGAAAAAGATATTTTGCTTGAAATCCCTTGTACAGTACACCATCAGCTGACACGCATACAAAAGTTCTGTATGAAAACACCGCGGCTACCAGAAAGTCAGTCCCGAAAGCGAAACAGCGTTACATAAATGACGTCACGAAGTGATAGCGACGTACGCCCTCAGGCTCGTAAAAAAAATTGTGGGCGGGGCTTAGGATCCAAATTATTGACTATATGAAAGCAATTTATTAATATTTGCGGTAAAAGTAAAAAAATAAAAACACCCAGACTCGATTCTATAAATATTTCTTTATTCATTTCAACAAACCTAGAAGCATATATCTTAGAAACTCTTTAATATTGATATTTTACGTATCGAAACACTTTTACGTGAAATAGATGTAAAAAA